GAATGCAGAACGCTATCTCAAGTAAAGAAAAGAAAGTGGTATTTTAAATTTTACATTTCTTAGCTACAGGCCCATAGAAAGTAATTAATACATCTATTTATGTGGAAAACTTACGCTGCTTTTCATTTGCTTAGGGTGCTGATAATTTGACAACATACACCTTCAACACACATCGAGCCCAGCACACATTCTGCAAGACCTGTGGTGTACAGAGCTTTTATACTCCTCGTTCTAATCCAGATGGTTATGGTAGGTAGAAAGAGTAAACTGTGGTAACCAAAGCTAACCGCCAAGCAAACTCTGGATAAAGACTCCATTGGCTACTAACACGACAGCAGTGAGCAGCCTCTGTCTTCAGAGTTTGTTCCTAAAGTGCTAAACATTGGGAACTGCAGTCTGAACCTGTAGCTCCTCCATAAGAAACTGTCTTACCTATGACTTGTGGGCTTCTGCCCATGACAAGTTTCTCATCTAGGCTCCTCGCCCTGACCGCCAGAGCTGGAGTGAGCATTTACCCTTCCCCGAGATGCCCCATCCACAGAGTGGTGCAGGCATCTCCTACACTTGAGCTATGAAAAGCAGGTTTTTGTGTACTCTCTCCTTCTCCAGGAATAGCTCCGCATTGTCTGGATGATGGCACCGTGCAGACCATTGTCACAGAGGACATCAATGGGAAGGAATGGGAGAAGGCAGTGAAGGAACATAAGACCATCAGAGACATGTCGAAACCCTGACACACCCTTCCAGCAGCTGAACTTGGAGCACTGCCGTGGAACTATAGTCTGGGCTTTCCCGGGTGAGGGTTGGCAAAATCAGTCTCTACATTGTTGTTATGTGTTCTCTGTTTCTTAAATAAATCTTTTTATGCTGCCTGTCCCATTCATTTGTGACTTTCAGTTTTCAAACTACCTCTGTTCTGTAAACCACCCCAGGACTGCTATTTTGGTACTTTGCCCTTAGCTGTGCTAAAGTTTAAATCACAAAAAAAAAAAAAATCTAATCTTTGTATGGATATTTCCTGTGTTTCAAGTCTGGCTTAGAAAAATGCCATATGTAAGATAATCTCTTGCTTAGGACTTAATACTAACTTACACTGTTTTTTCTCCATTGACTTCAATGAATTGGCCATGGATTTAAAGGGGATTTGAAAGAGCGTAGCAGGCTCAGGTTCAGTAAAGCATAGGCTCAAGTTCAGTGCACAGGTGCTTAGCTGTATGCAAGAGAGGGGCCACTGAAGTTATTCATGTGATTGAGTCCTGTTTTGCTTAAGCCTGGACTTACTCATGGTCTTAAGGCTGAGCACGCATATGCTTAGGCACTGACTCATGGCCAGGGAACAGAGTTCAACACTGTCATACTCGTACAATGGGCACGTGCTTCAGTACGACCAGGAGCTCGTTTGTCGTCTTCAGGAGGAGGACGTGCTCACAGCAACAGCTCAGGATCTGGTACTTTGGGCTCTGATCTTGACTATGCAATGACTAGCTGTGTAGAGGCAGGAAAGATGCCTCCTGCAGACGTGAGCCCACAGCAATGAATGCATAGGCCTACAGAAATGCTGAGTGTTGCTGACTTTGCTCCACCATGATTCCACGGAAACCCAAATCCCTAGTAAAATGTCTACATTGACTAAGAAATGACACCCTGAAAGCTGCTTCGCTTACCTTTTAACGTAAAGAGAGAGGATCTTTAACTCTTGCACTTGTCATTTACATAAGTGGAACAGCTTTTGAAACATCTCTTGCAATTTTTATCTCTGCACGTGTTCTGTAAAAGACCTAGTTACAGTCTGGGTCTCTTGCGCCTTATTCTTACATCCTGTTGAGACTCTCTGAGTTGATCTCAAGCTCCATGTTCTCAAGCAAGAAGAAATGCTTGTGTTTCATGAGGGACATGCCTGCAACACGATGTGTATGAAAGAAGCAGCAGTAGCAGCAAAGATTAGTGCAATTAGAGAAATCTGTATGGTTTCTGATGCTTTATTCATAAGCTTTGGCTTTTTAAAGTTCTGAATGAATAAGACAGGTCTTGTGGTTCTGGTTTCATCTGTGGCGATAGCATGATTTTTGCAAAATCATTCTTGATACTTGCATTTTACAAAAGCACCAAGAGATAGTTGCCAGGTAGTCCTCACAGCTGTATTTTCTTGGGCAAAAATACCTTGTGCCATATCTTCTCCAATGCAGAACACTCCTGCATTTTAGTCCTAATTAGGTTAATCCAAATTTCATCCTATTTAAGCTTCTACAGTGAGAAAATAGGGTAGTTCTTAAACCCTGTTCGTCTCAATGTATCAGGCAACAAGATATTCAGAAGTAAGTTCATACAGCCTATTTTTTGTAGTCTGAAAGAATGCTACACGAAGAATCCTGGCCTCCTGAGCACATAACAGGTGAGTTTTCTTTAGTCCTTGGCCTGGCATGGTCTTTTTTTCACTCATTCTTTTACACTGGAAGTTGTGAGTGGTGTCTCTTTTACAGAAGGCGGAGTGAGTTGATCACCATATAACGTGAGAAAAGCATATAGATGTGGCGAAACCAGAGGAGCTGGCTGCGATGACACCGCATGGCGCTCTAGAAGGAAAAATAGTTGAGAAAGCATTACAAGAACCTTCCACACCTCATGTGAGGGCAGTTTCCTAGGCCTCCTTTGAAGTTCACTGCCGATTTATAGGACAGCCTGTTTTCAGTGAGCAGGGAAGAAGTAGTGAGAGATAGAAGGCTGCCTACTCAGTGGGGCCAAAGGGCAGGGAGAGGCCAGGCTGCCCCTGTGGCACTGGCATTGTGCTGCCTAGTGTTCAGAGGGGTCCTGCCAGAAAGAACATTGTCCGCTGCAGATTGGTGCTGTGACAGTTTCTTTGTCACATAGAACTCTTCCTGTGCGATCTCACATCTGGCCATTCACATGCTGGGGAAGCAGAAACCCGATAGCTGTGTATCTGAGAACTCTTCGTATGCTGCTTCTGATCATAGATGGCCAACTGTAACTTAACTTCATCTATTTATAGTACATCAGCTTAGAAAGATCAGATTTCAGAAACAAAAAACATAAAGGAATAATGCCACCTTTATCAGAGCAGATTCCATATGTAACTCTATCTTTTAGCAGCCTCAAAAGCAGCAAAGCTCTGTAATTTGTGGCTTATCAGGACTGTTTACTGGGCAAATACTTTCATGCTACGGAAGGAGACCTAACCAGATACTGATATAGTGAACTGCGGACTGAATATGTCAGATCTCATGCAGCAAAATAGCTTAAAAAATACACAGTAGAGAAGGGAACTCATAAAGAGCTTTGTACCACAAGTTCACAGGCTGTCTCCATCTTTAAGTTATGATCCAAGGACGCTGTTCCTGGCACACAGTCATGCCATTCTTTGACAGGCCACTCACATGATCAGAATATCAAGTTTGATCCAGTCTCCTTTGAAATACATCATACATCCCTGGACACAGTGTAAAACTCAGTGCACTGTGACTACCGAAGATCTCTGAGCTACAAATCTCAGTGCTGCCCTGCTTTCCACACAGCACGTGAAGCAACCCATCTTGTCCATTCATGTTTTACAAATCACTAAAGATCTTTCATTAACGACATTTATAATCCATGTACATAATTATTTGTGAAGTTCTCTGTGAATATGACACTTCTGACTAAAGTCTTCACAACGATGATGAGCTACTCAAACAGGTTAAGCAGGTACCATGCATCTCACCTTGGCTTGTTCAGTCTCCTCCTCTGTGAGTATGAAGAGAGCATCTCTGGGCAGGAGGCAGGAGATGGGTACATCCAGGACAGAGATGTACTTCCGAAAGAGATTTACTGATTCAAGCATAAGTACACGGCACCCTACACAGAGAAAGAGGATAAATGTTTCAAAACAATATTCTTGTAAGGTTCCCACCTCTCCAGGCTCAGCAGGTCTTTGTGGGCTCCCCTGTATTGCTGGCCATGGGGATCCTTTTTGTGCAAAAGTGGAGCAACTTCTACTCGTGCTTCCACCAGGATTTCTTTGTGCCCAGTGCATGTCAATGACCATTTGTACTGGTTCTTGTTCTGTATGTGGTCTGTCGAAAGCAAAGCTAGCTCTGAATACCAGCAGGTTTGGGGGGTTTTTTTGCTTATAATTTAAGTTATTCCTACACAGTTAGACTCAAAGGAAAAAGCACAGGATGGGTCTCTGAATGCTGCACTGTATCATACAGGATTTCTTTGTGCCCAGTGCATGTCAATGACCATTTGTACTGGTTCTTGTTCTGTATGTGGTCTGTCGAAAGCAAAGCTAGCTCTGAATACCAGCAGGTTTGGGGGGTTTTTTTGCTTATAATTTAAGTTATTCCTACACAGTTAGACTCAAAGGAAAAAGCACAGGATGGGTCTCTGAATGCTGCACTGTATCAAATAATAGAAATTTAAAACAACAGTCTCTGGTTCAGCTACGAGAATGAAATTTCCTCTTTATACTCCAATTCTTAGCTACAGAAAAAATATTTACAAGATTCAGGAACAGCTGTATCAAATATGAACTCAGAGAGGCAGTTACACTTTAATAGAGTTCCACAATTCATTGCTCAGATGTTTGCGATGAAGCAGGTGAAGGTAACATATACAAAGATTCTATTGTGTGGAATTTGTTTTCTGTTTTAAAGAGCCCCTTGAACTCAAAAGTCAATTGCTATTTTTTTCACCATGGCTAAATTGTCTTCACTGATGAGTTCAGAGCTACTGATGGTCCCATTAAGTGCCTGTAGCTCTCAAGGGAGCAGGTTTGGGATTTCTTGGGGCTTGGAGGCTGCTGTGATTATGCTCCACACTTCAGACATTGCACTAAAGTTCAACAGAAGAGTCCAAAGTCACTGTTTACAAAGGTGGTCAGATACTCAATTAGATTTGCAATGAGGTTTTCTTCAGTGTGCCCTTAAACAGTGAAATTATACAAAGGAGAGAAAGAACAATGCTGAATTGCTACAAAGGCTGCCTGATGGACCATTTTAGTGTGTGAAGCCTGTGCTTATGTCTAATACTGCTGAAGCTGTTATGTCCTGAACACAAAGCGAACTGGTGGTGCTCAAATACCTCTTGGCTCTAAAATGTAGGCAGGCCTTGTGTCCTCCTAAGGGAAAAGACTGTCCAAGACAGAGGAAGAAGCAAACACCTTTTCCGACAAGAGTAACTACGTGAGGTGGGTTTCTGTGAGAGAGGTGACGAAGCCTCTAATAGGAGTGCTCTGTGCAGATCTGCTAAGGAATCTCATCCCACAAGGACCTGAACAGTCAACTTGCTGCTAACTTCCCCACTGCGGACACGTGGTAAATCCTTCAGTCTAGCCTCTATCAAGTATGAGATAGGAAAGCAAAACCTGCTACTCTTATGGTGAATTAATTCCCTGGAGAGAGAAAGGAAGAAGCCCCTCAAAGTCTCCAAGGTAGAGCATGGTGCTCAAAGACACCCCACTCACACCATTCCTTCCCCAGGCAGGGGTCTGTGACACACCGAACCCAGGAACAAACAGCATGCACGGGACGATCCTCCACAAGTTGCCTTGCAAGTGATTCCTGTCCCCTGCTGCTTCTCAGTGACACCCACTCATTTCACTGCAAAGAAAGGTCTTGCTGTTATTCCAGCCAAAGCCTGCAATGGCAGGACATGGCAGCCCTGAAAGGCTCCCTCCAGCACATCTTCAGGATCTTTCAATTCCTTTCTTTCTTCTCTCTCCTTCAAGAGAAGGATGTACAATATGTTTCAACTTTTCAACAGCCTTTTCCACTCTCCAAAGCAAAACTGGTAACTCTTATTTCAGCGTCACAGCAGGCTGCAGGACCACGCTCCCCTCCCGCTCTCCTTCTGCACTGACCCCGGGACGTGACTCCCCAGCAGG